CGACTTTGATTTGTTTTACCTATCCATTCACTACGGTGACGTTAACCTCACCTGGGCTGTTATAGGCACGAGTTTAGTTCTTCAACAGGTAGAGAAACTCCAAAATAAGCAGCGAAAAATTAGATACGTATTTTGGGATTCTAATAACCCGATCGAGACGTCCATCCAAATTGTGAAGAATGTTGTTTGTTTGAGAATTGCGATAGGTGCTTCAAATATAAGTGGTAACCCTTTTTTAATTCGGACTAAATCATATCATTCTCTTATAAACTGCATCTATCACATCTTTCAAAATCATTATACAAGGGAAACCTGCATCTGTGAATTTGAACAGCAAAATAACTCTATTTGTGAATCTGCTGACTTAACGATGGTGACGACTACATCGCAACTCGAGACCATGGCACATGCATAACTAGTCGTATTTATTTTAAATGTTTATTTATTTTATTTAGTCTCATATTGTGTAGATGTGTTTTCAAAACAGTAAGTACATGGTTGTATTTTAAGAAAGTGATTTATGAAAGTTTAAATGAAATATTTTCACAATCAATGTTCATGATATTAGTGACGACTTTAAATTAAGTAGAAAATTCTGGATCGTTACAAACAAAAATGTTGACGATGAATATGAATTGGATTTAATTTTAGAAAACTATGTGAAGGTTTAAAATTGGCTCATGATTCAATTGAACCTCGTCATTTTCTTACCCACAAGATAGCATAAAAACTTACTACAATCTCATAGGGATTATTTACCAACAATTTTTTCATGGATTTTAAAGATGCCTATGGACAGAGATTTATTTCAAAAAAAACTTATTTAAAAATAAATAAAAAAATCATTGTTGGGACGTTATAGACACTTTAGGTCTAATTAGTTATTGAGATCTCTTTCTTATCTTTTCCTCAAAAAATTGTTGCGAAAGAAATAACTTTTGTGGTTGCTCCCAACTTTGAGTTTGAATTTCTCGAACATTTGCATATTTCTTACACAGAGTTGGAAGGTTATTGGACAGCATGATGGGACCTCCTCAGGCCCCTATTACTTCATGAAATCTCTTCTCGAAACTCGGATTGGTTTTATCCAATGAAATCATAGGTAGAAGCTTAACTTTGGATCTCCCCAATCTTGCTTAAAATAGATACAATAACGATTTCTTTGATTACTCTTGATCATGAGCTCCATTGCATCCGTGGTTTTCATGAAAAATAGTTATTTACATTCCAAAAAACAATTGGCATAGGTGGAAATGAACGAATTTTCTCGTAGTCATCGATTGGATTTTTTTTCTTAAAAAAAATTCCTTCGTGGGTAACGAAACTCGAATTGGGGGACTACGCTTCAAGCCATTTTCAGCTCTCGAATCCTTCAAGAAACTTGTTGGATACCTCATTTAGAACATGTCGAAATTGGTTCGACATAATTTGATGGATTATAGCTCCTAAATTTTAAAAAATTCGAGAGTGGCATGCGTGTAAAGTAGAAACTCGATTCTCTTGAGTTAGCCACTCTCAGACTTTCCATTCTTGTCCCAAATGTTCCTCCACACTTCCTTATTTATAGTCCAAGCATTAGTTTTCATGAAAAGTTCAGAATCAAGCTTATTTGAATAAGAGTTTTTTTTTTGGACAGTTGGCCTCATACGAAATAAAGTATCTTAATGTAACGACCCGAAATTTTCTACTTAATTTAAGGTCGCTACTGTATACGTACCATAAATATTGAATGCGGAAGACTTCATTAAAATTTCATAAAACATAACCTTTTATCTTAAAACACAGTCATGGACTTACGTGTTCCGAAAACATCTTTAAAACGACACAACAAAAGACTAAATAAAATGAATAAGAGTTTAAGTTAAAAACATTCTATTCTAGCCTAAGTCTAAAAAAATAAATACCACTATCCTATGCATGTGCCACGGTCTCAAGTTGTGATACCGTCATCAGCCGTACAGGAATGTCTTGCCTTAACCTGAAAAATATAGTAGCACATGGCTTGAGTATTTAAGGAGATACTCAGTAAGTGACCCTACTATTGGGGTTAAATGCAATAATCACATGCAATGAGATGATGAGACCTATCTTTCATTTCGTTTTTCCTACGGTGTTGTCCTAACAAGTAATTTTTGGACGTGTACCATATACTCTACACACAGCTCATACGTGCGAGTATGAGCTTACCAGCTAGTTCGCACACTGTTGGGCCACCTTCCTTATTCGGTGGACATACTCTGGGAGCCCCTTAGACCGGACACCCGCTAGAACTAGTAACCATCACGGCAGCGCTATGCAAAGCATAACGATCGTTGTCCTGCCATTGGATGTACGCGTCCGTACCCTTGTGATGGGATAGGGGTATCCCCCAAATGTATGAGCACATATAATGTATGAGGTTCCAAAACTTTTCCATTTTCCATTTTCATTATTCTTTAATACAACCCCTGACATTATGTATATATCATATCATTTTTCATATCGTTTCAGATACCATTCATCATTCATGTTATGTCGTTTCTCATTCTTCAGTTCTCAAATCATACATAATTCTAATGGGGTTATATTTCATGTCATTTATCGTCATTTCATATCATTCATATCATGCTGTATGCACACAATTTAAGAAACCTAACATAACGTTCTATGCTTTTAACATAACATTTCATCATATACACATCATACCATGACATATTGCATCACAATGTATCATATCATAAACGAGTCATAACGTAAACACTTCATAGTCATATCGTTCTCTAACTTATCATAGCCTTAACGTTCTTATACCTATCACAAACATATCATTATGTGAACGTACCTTAGTCATCTCATCACAAGAACTTAACCTAACGCTATCGTTCATATCTATCACAAACCTATCCCTTTCTACCCGTAACTTAACTGTATTCTTCTATCAATCTCTCTTACCCATATCACTCCGGTAAGTAACCTAACCTTAACGTTTCATGAATGTATTTTACTCCTATAGTTACATTTCGTTTTGTGCATCCTTCTTGTATCCTATCTCAAACATATCCTTGAACACATTGTACCATAATTATTATCATACAATTCACATATTATAACATATACATAACATATAGAAAGTATATCGATCCACAGACAATTCACACATATCAATATATATGACACGTGCAGAACCACAGGACACATGTCAACATCAAATATAACCATGCTGATAGTAAGGTCACTTACCTGGTTAGCTTAGGCTGATGTTCCATCGTTATCCTTAATGAAAGTCCATTGAAATCCAAGTCAATCTATGTGGACCCATGACATCAGTTTTTTGAATTTCTACAAAATTGTTTCTTTATGTTGACCATGTGTTATACATCATGCTAACGTTAGAGTTTTTGCTTGAGTTAGGTCTTGAAATATTTATATATGTTTGTTATAGTATTATTTTCATACAAATTATTTAATACTCATCAAAATTTTCCAGATATTCTATTTTCCCGTGTTTAATACCCTTTAACATTTTCCAGACAATTTCAATTATATTCACAATCTTCCACCTCCCTGTCTTTTACTGTGTTTCCCTTCTTTTAATTATCTCTCATTTAGGATGACTTTTAATATCATTAAATAAAATAAAAGGAAAACTACTAACCTCTTAACTTACTCTGAACCTTTTTGTGTTTGTTTTTGCATGAGAAGAAATTCTGATACGTTAAATCTGTTTAATCATTTCTTTCTATTGTTATTTGTTACCTTTTCAATTAGATTAGCAATTACTTTCGGTCAATTTAATCGATTCTATTTTGTTTTTGCTGTTTATTCTGAAGTATCTGAGATATAGAGAAATCTCAAATCTCTGTCCCATGTAAATCTTGATCATCTCTATGAACTCATCTCCTATACATTTGATGTGAGGTATTTTTGTTTTATTATGACCTTTTTCATTTTTGTTTCATTTGGCAGGAATTGTAAAGTGTGTTAAAGAGAGATGGCTGGGAAAGTGACTACGATTAGTGGAAAGAAATGAGGGAATAATTAATTTTTATTTGTTTATTTATTTATTTATTTATTTGGGTTGTTACACTTGATCATATCATAAAGACTTCATGGTGGATGACAAGATTGTACAAAATATGTTTAAACTTAGGGATGTTTCATTGTATTATTACAAATGGCTTGATTCAAATCGGTTATGTGGAGACATATGAGTGCAGATATCTTATACAATGAATTTAATAAGATTGGTCTACAAAATATTTGATTTCTCTTTATTAATTCATTTGATTGAGAAGATAAATATTTCATAAGATGATTAGATGTGATTCGATCTTAATCCAAAGTGATCTATGAAATATTATCTATAAAGGCTTGTTATTTGATTTTTATGAATGAGAATGACTCTTCTAGTTGATTCAAAATAACTACCATTTTAGAGACTTGACCGAAGAAAGTTGAAAACATAATGCCACAAAATGGAATCATTCACTCGTTCTAATACAAGAGTAAGTAGAGATAAGTAGTTTCCTGTGTTGATTTCGAGACTTTAATAATGGGGTCCACCCTCTCATTGGCTCAAGAAGGACTCCGTTAATTGTTGGATTATAAATAAATTATTCATTAGAGGATGAGTGATACTTAAAGGTAATATGTAATTACATGGGTATAACAAAGTTGGCCTCGATAGAGTTTACAAAACAGATTTGACCTAAACGTTGATAGTTGAGTGTAATTATTGATCGAAAGTAGTTTAATTAATTTATTTTATATTTTAATTAAAGGGTTTAATTAATTAATTAATTTTGTATTTTAGGGTTGATAACATTTATAATTAATTAATCATAATTAAATATTTTAACTAATTAATTTTATATCGTTACACTCTAATAATAAAATAATCAATTTAGTTGAAAGAAAATTTTATATCGCTCTCATACCTGATGAGTTAAACGATAATTAAATATTATTTAATATTTTAATTTTAATAACCATTGATGGTAATATTAAGATTAAATGGGAAATTTAACTTAAAATGAGAGACTAGCCTCCATCTTAAGGCACCATCTCTAATCTTAAGGCACCATCTCTAATCTTAAGGCACCATCTCTAATCTTTAGGCACCAAAACATCAAAGTCACTTACGCTCCACTCTGCTGTCTCCCCTTCGCTGAAGTATACTTCTGTGCCAACATTGATAGAACTCCATATCCGCCTAGCTGCCTTCGTTCCCGGATCCTACATCGCCAACAAACACTCACTTTCTTATCAATTAAGGAAACCAAAGACTTCCTCTTTTTAAACCAACTTGCCAAATCTGTTTTATGGACCATACCACTTTTATGTTCATATTATTTGGCTTTCCACCTCTTTTTGCTACTTGTCTACTGCATCCTATTACATTATTATGTAGGTCTACTCTTTTAACCTTCTTACTCTGAGATTCCACGTCTGTAACGGCCCAAGTCCACCCTAGCAGATATTGTCTTTTTTTGGGCTTTCTCTTTTGTGCTTACTCTCGTGGTTTTTAAAATGCGTTTGTTAGGGGGAGGATTCTACACCCTTATAAAGGGTGTTTCGTTTTACTCCCAACCAATGTGAGATCTCACAATCCACCCCCCTTCAAGGCTTGGCGTCCTCGCCAACACTCGTTCCTTTCTCCAATCGATGTGGGACCCCACCAAATCTACCCCGTCCTTACTGGCACACCGCCTCGTGTCTACCCCTTTGAGGAATAGCCTCCTCGCTGGCACATCGTTCGGTGTCTGGCCATGATACCACTTGTAACGACCTAAGCCCACCACCAATGGTTATTCTCTTCTTTGGGCTTTCCCTTTCGGGCTTACCTTTAAGGTTTTAAAATGCGTATGCTAGGGAGAGGTTTCCATACCCTTATAAGGGTGTTTCATTCTTCTCCTCAATCGATGTGGGGTCTCACAATATCGGTTGAAGAGGAGAGCAAAACATTTTTTTATAAGGGTGTGAAAATTTGTCTCGAGGAGACATTTTAAAAACCTTGAGGGAAAAGCCCAAAGAGGACAATATCTGCGGGTGGTGAGCTTGGGCCGTTACAAATGATATTAGAGCCAGACATCGAGCGATGTGCCAGTGAGGAGGTTGAACCCTGTAATGGGGTGGTCACGAGGCAGTGTGCTAGCGTGAACCCTGAAGGAGGTGGATTGGGGGTCTCGCATTGATTGGAGAAGGGAACGAGTGTCAGCAAGAATGCTGAGGCTCGAAGAAGGTGAATTGTGAGATCCCACGTCAATTGAAGAAGGGAATGAGTGTCAGCGATGACGTTGGCCCTGATGGAGAAAAAGATCTCACATTGACTGAGAAAAAGAACAAAGCATTCTTTATAAGGTGTGTAAACTTCTGTCTAGTAGATGTGTTTAAAAAAACTAAGAGATGACAATATCTGCTAACGGTGGACTTAGACGTTACACTTATAATCTCCCTATCCTACTCCGTTCTTGAAGAAAGAAGATTTACCTGGTAGAAGTACAGGCGATTGGACAAAGCTCCAACGTCGAGCTCCCAAGTTCTAGGATCTCCAACCCATCCTTCACCTTGCTTCTGAGGATAGCCATGAACAGCCCATTCAGGATGTGGAAGAATCTGTACCAACTCTTGAGACTGCGGGTTGCTATATGGATCACAAAGTTCACATGGTTTCTCCAAATGCATAGCATTTCCAGGACCGCAATACAGATGATAAGCTGAGTATGGAAACCTCGAGGTCTCATTCCTGTATATCTTCTCTCCCGAAGAACTAACATGATAGGGCGGACAAGCCATGAGATTGCTCGGCTTGCACGTACCACCGGTCTTGGGGTTGATAATCATTTCACTGTATCGAGTTACATCGGTAGTAGTGTCGCCATTGCAAGGATCTCCATTGTTCTTCCAACAGCTTCCTATGTCTAGCAGATAGAATTGGCTGCCCTTTCCACCACCACTTTTGATATCAAGTGTCAACCTCACCTTGAAATTTGGGGACTCAGGCAACTGATAATAACAATTCAAAATTTCACTTCAATATCTGAACTCAATTTGAAAAACAAGTGAAAAGAGAAGGGGATGAAGAAGAACCTTGCTCATAATGCCACGACCATCATAGTGATACCCACCATTGAAGCCCTTGGTTGCATCAGATCGAAGGTACAACATAAGCCAAGGATACTTAGAAGACGTCGTCAATCGATTCAAGAACACCCAACTCCCTGTTGTAACATTCTTCCGCCAAGACACCGAAAAGTAAGAATTTTTCCCTATACCATTACTCAAATCAGCATCAACTTCATAAGTTCCATAGAACCCACCACTTAAAGACACCATCCCGTCCTCCAAAGACACCAATCTCGAATAGTTATGGCAAACAAGAGGTGGGTTCATACACCCTTCACCGAAACAGGGGAACTTCAACTCTGTTTTAATTTTACTAACCTTCTTACCATTCTCAGGACAAAGCGTAGAATTCTTGTCCAAATTCCCATTTTTCAGCATAATCATCCAGAAATTCCATGGATTTGAAGAGCCATCGACCTCGCATAATGAACCCAGATAGCGCTCCTTCTCCGCGGCGTATAAATTTGGGTCTGTGTATGGCTTGAATCGCTCCGATGGGAATTTTTCACCGGCTTTGAGTTTGTTAATTGATTCGTTTACTTTGTGGGCAACCATGGTGGGAGCTGATGAGGGCTGCAAATCAGCGCAATCGGCCAATCTGGGGCTGCCCATGGTGGGAGCTTCGGCACCAACTTCGTTACAGGAATTCCATGCCTCCAATGCCACTCGGACATTTGGGTTCTTCATTCCGGGATCCCCGATGGCAGATATGTATGAACAATGGATGAAACTTAGAACAAATGGTTGAATTAGGAGGAAGAGGAGGAGGAAGGAAGCTGAAAATGGAGAAGCCATGTCCATGGCGAAACGGGGAATGGTTTGAAGGGAAGATGGAACTTAGTTTATATTGGCATCCACATCATTGTTCATGATGAGTTTATTAGAATAACGCGACTCTCCACGATAGTATGCTATTATTCACTTTAAGTATATACTTTCGTAGCCCAAAAAAAACTTAGTTTATATTGGCATTGTTGTTCACGATGAATTTACTAATTTCACTGAGCACCTAATAGATTGGATGGAAGGTAGTTTATATTGGTAGTTTATATTGATATTGTTGTTTACGATGAATTTATTAGAAGAACACGACTATCTACAGTGATATGATGTTGTTCATTTTAAGCATAAATTCTCATACCCGAAAAGGAACTTAGTTTATATTGGGATTGTTGTTCGGGATAAGTTGACTAATTTCACTTAACACGTTAAATTATTTTGCTTTTAAAGAAAGAAATCATTGCTCTGGATTGGAGGTTAGATTTTTTGAGGAAGTGGTATGATTTTTACCTTAAATGAATAAGGTTTTTAGTTTATTTTATAATAAATTTTAATGGTTACCTTTAAATAAATGAGTTTAATAAATTTATATATAAATTTTTAATTATAAATATTTAGTACACTTACAGTAATCAAATGTGGTATGTAAGGGAGGAAACAATATTAAATGTATATAAATTTTATTTGATTTTATTTTTGTTTATTATTATGTATATTATAAATAATAGGCTTTAAATTTTAGAATTTTGAGTTTATTTAACCGTTAATAGTTATTTTCAAATAAATGATTTTAATAAAATTGTAATAAGTATACGATAATCAAATTGAAAAAATTAATTGTAAATATCATATTTTAAAAATTAAATATAATTTATTTATTTCCCCTTTTCCAACCCTTCTACAAATCATTTAAAAATAAATTTTTTTATCAATAAAAAAGAAACAACAAAAAGGAAACTAATAAATTAAAAAAAAATCACATTTAATAAAAAAAAAATTGAAAATGAATTAAAAATGAAAGAAACCAATAAAAATAAATGTAAGAATAACACAAAATAAAAAAGAACAATAAAATTAAAAAATAAAAAAGTAAAAGAAACAAAGGATGGGTTTCAAAATCCCATTATTTGATTTTTTTTAAATATTTTTTAATTATATTAAAATTAAATCTATAGCCATAAAAAAATCTTTGTAACCAAGATAAAAATTATACAATTATTATATACATTATATATAAATTCAATCCTGCTTAAAAATAAATGTTCCAATTAATATCAAAATAACTCTAAAATTATATATATATATATATATATTTCATTTAGTGATGAATGAAATAATAATCTTTTAGAGAGGTCAAATAAATATATAACTATTATTATATTTCAAAATTTAATTAGATAATAAACGTATCAAAACAGCCCAATATCTTATGCCAATAGTTTAACTCTCTCGCATAATAAAAGAATATATATTAAATAATTATATTGGTTTGTGTATGGAAAATTAATTAAATTATTAGATTTAGTTAAAATATAATTAAATAAATATTAATAAAATTTTATGTTAAATAGTTAAGATTATATAATTATAATTTTATTAAATCTAAATTACATATTGATAATAATAATAATATAAAAAAATTAACAATAACTCATCTTGTACTAAAACCATATTCTAATAACAAGGTCTACCAGTATAAAATTCAACATGCAAATCTTATATTAAAAAATTAAATATATTATGATAAAGTTTACTAATAAAGTGAATGTTCATGTCCTAATCTTATAGTTGGAAAAGAATGAAGATAATAATATCTAATTTGATAGGAACAACACTTTGAAAATGAATGTTTTTGAATTTGACCTAGTCGACTCACATGGGTATAACTTGCACTTCTAGCGAAGACGGCAAGAAAGAGCTTTCAAAATTTTAAAAATTTTCAATTAACGTCCCTAATAGTAAAATGTTTAGGAGTATATGTGAAAGTTAGTAAATTGTACTGATATCATCAGGAAATGACTAGTTTGAGTACAAATATAACATGAGGAAGTTTGTTAGATCTCACATTGGTTGGAGAGGGGAACGAAACATTTTTTATAAGAGTGTGAAAACTTCTCCATAACATACACATTTTAAAATTTTCCGAGAAAGCCCTTGAAGAGAAAGCTCAAAGAGGAAGGAAAAGTCCACGTAAAACAACATTTGCTAATAGTGGGGTGAACTTGGGCTGTTACAAGATTAGTGTTCTACTCTGTGTATATGATAAAGTCAGCGTTATCTCTCACATTTACTAAAGAAGCATGAGATTATTTGCTCCACTCATCGTTGAACTTGCACCAAGCTATTGAGTTAGGGAGGGAGTAAATCTTAAAGAGTGACAAGTCGTTGCTCGTGATTAGCTAAATTGTCATCATAAAGATAAATAATGAGGTTATCCCTCAAGAAACCGTTATTACAATCTTTGAAGATTTCAAAGTGAAAACGTGACACGGGTGATTCGACGAACTTACAAAATTCATATATTTCTTATAATAGAACACAACTATACTATATAGAACGTCAGTATTAATATAACACAATTATACAGGGAAGATATGGTTAGATTACATCAGAAATTATAATTTAAATAAAAATAATAAAATGGGGGTGACTAGAATTACAATTTGAATAATTAGCTGATAATTAATTAAAACAAAAATAATCAATGTGTTCAACAAATATAATTTTTTTTCTCTTTGGAAACGTGAAATTCAATTTATTGCAATTTAAAAAAATTAAGATAAATGGTGCAAAATTTACCCACTGGTAAGATAAAATAAAAATGAATAAAAAGAAGTGGATAACCCTAATTATCCACGCCACTTCTTCTACACGCCCTCTCCTCCTCTGTTGCAGGTCGGTGTCGCCGCCGGCTCTCTCCCGTTTACGGCTGCCGCCACCGTGGTTTTTGTTACGTTCGTGGCGCCGCAGCCTCTATCCTAGCGGCTTTGTATTGTTTTCTAAGAATAGCGGAATTGCAATGAAAAAGGAACACCCTCCTGGAAAATTGGGATTGTGGTTTGTGTCTGGCTGTCTGATTGGGAAACAGTGATCGGATTCTCTTCTAATTCCACAGCTCAATTCGTCTTTCACTCAGGTCTCCCCTTTTCGCATGAACATGAACCTTCGAAGAGAAGGGGCCTACGAATTAGGAAATGAATGACGTAAAAAGGCTCTTGCATCTAAATTGCTTATTCTTCATTATGGTCTCAGCAATGGGGGTTACAATTTGTCTTCTATGAGCCTGGTTGATCGTCAAGTGGGCCTTTTCACTTCCAAGCACACGACGTTTTATCACCATATTAATTCCATTTCAACAAACTAAAAATGCATTATAAATTGTACCATTTATATATAGTATAGATTACCCTTCCAATTTCTCTGCCTTCTTCTTTTCCTCTCAATTCTGCAAGTGTCTGAATTCGCCGTGGAAGCTACCTGCTTGTGCTATGGTGATTCCAGCGGCCTTGGTGATCTTGCCATTGGGCGTCCTCTTCTTTGTCTCTGGCCTCGTCGTCAATCTCATTCAGGTATTTTGCACTAGTTTGATCCATGTGTGTTCTTACTTTATTTTTTGATTTTGTTCATCAAGATTCAGTTCGTTTACTGTTGGGTTATGTTCTTTTTTGTATTTTGGTGTGTGGTTAAAGTGAGTTGAGGAGATTTTAGTAGTTAGGTTTAGTTGCTTCAGGCCTTCAGCCAATTTATTGGTATGTTTCTCGTCCAAATGCATGTTTATTGCTCTCTTATTTGGATTAATTTTCTGGTGGCACAAGGGTAACTTGTAAATTTAGCTAAGATTTTGTTTTCCTTCCTTCCTGTTTTCATCATTCGTTTTTTTTGAAAAAATGTTTTTAACTCACGAGGTGTTTTGGGTTAATAATATGCGTTGCTTGTTACCATTGAGTCGCCTGTGAGTTAAACCATCATGGTTTATCATCTAAGCTGTCGTTGTGGTTGTACTGTTGTGCTATGCTAGTGTCTGTTTTTTCACTCCATCTTCTTTGAAAGCTTTTGCTGGTTATTCTTATATATACACACTGAACGATGTGATCGGCTCTCAAATTTTTGTTCCCTTGTTTTCAGGCAATATGCTTTATCCTTATAAGGCCGATAACAAAGAATGGGTACAGAAGGATTAATAGATTGGTGGCAGAGTTGTTGTGGTTGGAGCTTGTTTGGATAGTTGATTGGTGGGCAGGTGTTAAGGTGCATCATAGTGATATTGTTGCTGCTTGTTTTTCTCTCCCTTTTGATTTTTTAATGATTAATTACTTTATCTTATCTTTTCATGGCTTACTATATTTTGATGCCACAAAATGATCAATTTTCTTGTAAATTTCACTGAATCGTTATTAAATTACCTAGTACTTGTGTTTTTGGTTCTTGGATTGGATTATTGAAAGCTCAATTTGTTGAACTATTTTGAATGCAGATTAAAGTGTACACAGATTGTGAGACCCTTAAACTGATGGGTAAGAGTATTGACTACCAATTTATTTATCTTTTGAAATATCTGCAAAATGGCTCAAATCACAACTTAGTTATGAACTTTTCCAGGTAAAGAACATGCACTGGTTGTCTCTAATCACAGAAGTGATATTGATTGGCTTGTTGGATGGATTCTGGCTCAGGTGCCTATTTCCTTTTCTTTCTTAATCAAGGATAATTCAACTTCAATATGTATCACTCATATTTATGGGTGCATATTTTTACATTTGCTGGTATCTAAATATATCGCATGTTATGTGTTTCTATCAGAGCATAAAATCAGTGTGTTTAATGCCATTTTGTTGTTTGTCTTATACTTTCTCCTTATTAATAATTTTGAATTTCATGTGGTAGAGATCTGGATGTCTTGGCAGCACGTTAGCTGTAATGAAGAAGTCATCAAAATTGCTGCCAGTATGTTCATTTTTTGGAAGTATTTTTAGCATTCATGAGCTTGTTGTTATTTTCATTACAAATTTTAAAGTTATTTT